TTGTAGGTTTTTTTGTAGTGCTGACGTTTTCTTTGTTCCTCTTACTCTTCTGTGTTGAGTTCCTTTTGTTTGTGAAATTTCTTTTTATTTTATTATGTTTTTATTGAATTTGTTTTTATGAGACTTTTTTTCCCTTTTTTTGATGACTAGGTTTGTTAACTTTCTTTTTGTTTACCTTAAAATTTACCCCATCTTCCCAAGTTTGAACCAGTCTTTTATTACTTGATATGGCCTTGACTTCCTGTCTATTTGAAAGTTTTGTACCTACACCATTTATTCCTCCATTTCTGGTTCTGATATTGTTCTCATATACAGATTGATGTCTCTGCTTCCCTGTTGTAAGTCTTTTAGATTTGTTTTATCCTTGAGAATTCATTTCTGACCTTGGTTTCTGGCTGATGTCCTGTGTCCTTAATTCAGGTTGTTACCTGTTGTTGTTTGTTTTCTAACCAAAGGACTCCCTTTAGCATTTCTTATAAGTTTGGTTTGGTTTTTACATATTCCCCTAACTTCTGTTTATCTGGAAATGTCCTAATTTTGCCATTATATTTTAGTGAGAGTTTTGCAGGTTATATTATTCTTGGTGATTTTTTTCTTTCAAGGTTTTATATATGTCATCCCATTACCTTCTTGCCTGCATGGTTTCTGCCAAGTAGGCAGAGCTTAGTATTATTGTTTCCACTTTGTTTGTGACTTTTATTTTTTCTCATGCTGCTCTCAGGTTTTTCTCTTTGTTTTTGTTTTGTTGAATGTGAGTATGATACATCTTGGTGGCTTTCTTTTGGGTCTATCCTGTATGGTGTTTGCTGAGCTTCTTAGATGGTCAGATTTTCATCTTTCATGTTATTAGGGAAGGTTTCTGTCAGCAAATCTTCAATGATCCTTACTGTGTTTTCCATTTTCTGTCTCTGTTCTGGAACTCTGATCAAGTGCAAATTTTTTCTCTTGATAGTATACCACATAGTTCTTAGGTTTTCTTCATTTTTTTCCCTGATTTTTCCTCAAACATTTTGTATTCAAGGATTTGTCTTCAATTTTGCTGATTGTGTCTTCCATTGTTTCAAATTTGCTCCTAAAATCTTCTATTGCATTGTCCAGTTCTGAAATCTTGTTTCTCTTTTGGATTTCTAATTGCTGTTTTTGTATGATTTCTAATTATTTATTTTGACATTTTGTTGTATTATTTTCTTGAATTCTTCCATTGCTTAGTCTGTGTTATCCCTGATTTTGTCTCTATTTTCCATGATTTTGTCTATTTTTTCCTTAATTTTGTCTGTTTTCCTTGATATCTTTCCTAATCTTTCATAGAGCCCCGAATATTAGACATTTTTATTCTCTATCAGGTAGTTCCAGTGATTTTTCTTCTTCCACAATATTACATTGTGTTTTATTTGTCATTTTTGGAGCCATCCTTTTTTTAAAAAAAATATATTTTGATATCATCTGCTTTCTCTGAGGCATTCAGGAATTATTTTCTTCATTTATTGATTGTAGATTTATTTGTTTTGTCCTGCTTTTCTGTTTTATTTGATTATGTCTGGGCAGGCGGGATGAGCATGTTTTTGTTGTTTCCTGATCTGTGGACATGACAGTCCCACCCAGGGGGGCAGCGCTTGGTGGGATTGGCCTGGTGGGTGGCATGGGGGGAGTTCTGGGAGTGCAGGAGTCTGCGCAGGTCCCTATTGGAGGTGCGGTGCTTAGTGGATCAGGGCTGGAGTGTGGTGCAGGGACAGGTCTGGAGGTCCAGGGATCTGTTCCAGTGCTGCTTACAGTTGTGGTGCTTGGTGGGGAGGTGCCAGGGAGTGGCATGGGGCAGGGTCCTGAGGTCTGGGAGTATGCGCCAATGCCGCTTGGAGGTGAGGTACTCCATGGGACAGGGCCAGTGGGTAGTGTGAGGCATGGTCCTGGGTCTGAATGTCTGTGCCGGTGTCACTCTGGGGTAGGGTACTCAGTGGAACGGGGTGAGGTCTGGGGGCCTGGGGGTCCACGCTGGTCCTGCTCTGGATGTGGTGCTTGGCTGGGCTGGAGTGGTGCTGCTCAGGGGCTTGACATTCAGTAGGACAGGCTGGGGGTGTGTGGGGATATGTGCCATTTAAATATGGCTACACCAGTGACAACTTCAGCCCCTCAAAGGCCCATATACTGCACACAGCATGTTGATACTTGTCAGCAACATGTTGAGACTTGTCACGACTTGTTTTTCCAAAACCTATTGTCCCATTACTGATTGGCTTGTTTACCTGAAGTCCATTCTCCCTTGCCCGAAACTTATTGTTATTCACCCAAAGCCCATTGTTCTGTGATTTGCTTCACTACTTGCTGTATTGGCTATAAATAAACTCCTGGGACTGAAGCCAGGGTCGACTCCTCTGAGTGACCCTCCTTGGCCCCACTTCTCTGTAAGAGTTGTGCAGTTGGTTACCGTCGCAGTCGCAGTTCCAACAGATGGTGTCCCGTGTGAGGGAGCTGTAGACGCCCTCGCACTCAAATCCCTTCAGGTGGTAAGTATAGGACACGTCTGTTTCAGGCTGTTTAAAGGCACAGCCTGAGGGCGGTGGGGCTTTCCTGAACGCTCTCAAGGGATTTCAGGCTTCAGGCCAGGAACTTTTCTGTCATTATTTCCTTCATTTTCCTATTCCTCCTCGCTTTTCTCTTTCTCCTGAGCAGCGTCAACACAAAACCCAGTTGTTAGGATTGTTAAAGTCCCCTGAGCTTAAAGTGTCAGAAGAAGCTCTTACCCAACTTCTGCTTTTAATTGAATCTGCCTGTCCGTGGTATCCCTTGCGGGGAAACCTTGTGTAGGAGCATGGGAACGTATCAGTAGCATCATTCGTGACATGAACAGCCTAGCTTCAGTTCTTATTGCTTGGCATCACTGCCACCTTGCCCTGCAGCTCCCTCCCCTAGTAAAGAAAATATTTATGACCCTCCTCCTTTCACGCCTCCTGAGACTGATTCCTCACAACATGAGTCTCTTATGGAGAGGTGTTTGCGAGAAGGCTGTGAGAAAGAAGGGCTCGTGGATTCTGGAGCAGACATAACTATCTTCTTCTCTGATTCCTGGCCCTCTTATTTGCCCAAGAAACAGACTGCTGAAACCCTCACAGGAGTTGGAAGAGCACAGTGTCCTTTTCAAAGTACACTTCCCATTGTTTGCTATAGCCCTGATGGACAGCCCACTTCTATCTGTCCCTTTATCCTTCCTTTACCTACTATATTATGGGGATGAGATTTACTCTCCCAGTGGAATGTTCAAATTGGCACCCCTCAGGATTTTTCATAGGGGCCACTGCTCAAACAGACCCTCTGCTAAATTAACCTAGATACCTGGCCCTCCTGTTTGGGTTGAGCAGTGGCCCATTAAAGAAGAAAAACTAGAACACCTTAAAAGGCTTGTCCAAGAACTGTTAGAGGCCGGATACACCCGACCTTCCTGCAGCCCTTGGAACACACCTATTTTCTGTATCCCTAAAAAGTCCAAGAAATGGAGGCTCCTACACGACTTACGGGCTGTTAATTAACATCTTGTCCCTATGGGACCTCTTCAACCAGGAGTTCCCAATCCGGCCTCTATTCCTCAAACATATCATATTATCATTATTGATCTTAAAGATTGTTTTTTTACTATCCCACTCTACCCTAATGACTGTGTGTCGCAGCGGCGACAGTTGTCGGGGTGGCGGAGACAATAACCAATGCCACAACTCTTACAGAGAAGTGGGGCCAGGAGGGTCACTCTGAGAAGTCGAACCCCGGCTTCAGTCCCAGCAGTTTATTTTATAGTCAATACAGCAAACAGTGAAGCAAATAACAGAACAATGGGCTTTGGGTGAGTAACAATAACTTTTGGGCAAGGGAGAAGGAATTCAGGTAAACAAGCCAATCAGTAACAGGACAATAGGTTTGGGAAAACAAGTCGTGCCGAATCTCTTTCTCATCACTGACAAGTCTCCAACATGTCGTATACAGCATAGAGGCCTGTGGGGGCTGCAGTTGTCAATAGTGCAGCCACGTTTAAATGGCATATATCCCCACATCTCCTGCCTTTTGTTTAGTTAATGGAATAAGAATCAAGAGGGTTTCCACTGGTCCAACAAGTGTCTGGTAGGACAAAGTAAAATTTTCTCTACGAGATAAAATCCAAGATTATCTCAGCTACTGTCTCCACACCTCAGGGCCTGGCGTCTTAGTGAGTCCTTGTGAGCCCAGCTTCAGCTGGGGCACACTCCATATGTTTAAGGAGGAGAAGTAGCATAGCTATAAGTAACACCTGGACTTAGTCGCCTAGATGGTGGCCATAGCAGGCTCTTTAAACTCACGGTGCTGGTTTTCCACCGGATACCATCTGGTTTTTCACCAGCTTGTTACTTAATGCCTGGGCTTAATGCTCCTAGATGGCGGCCGTGGCAGGCTCTTTAAACTCACGGTGCTGGTTTTACACTGGATACCATCTGGTTCTTCACCAGGTTACTAAGTAAGAGCAATGCTCTTATCAGTTACATAGCCAGAGTAAGCGGACTCAATGTGCCTTTCAGGTGTGTAAGACAATAGAGGATGATCTTATGAGGATAATACAATCCTCTGCACTAGTAATATCCTGATTGTTGGATCCATGGGTTTCCTCTGACTCTCATTTTGTCATGTAAACACTAACTTTTAACATCCACTGAAATTATCATTCTTAAAGGCTTAAAGATTTATAAAGGCTCAAAGATTCATTAACAATCAAACAAGCAATGATTTACACAGCTTCACTATTACTTGGAAGGAAATCACTAGAAAGGGCAATTTATACATCATAACAGATTTAACAGTCAAACAAACACTGATTTACACAAATTTATTATCAATTGGAAAGGAATCATCTAACTTAGAAATCTATCTATACAGAAGCATATAACTAGGAGAAGCAGAAAATATAGAGGAGTTTACACATAACAAATTTTCATTGGGAACTTACTGATTAACAAATTACTGATTAACAAGATAATATAGGATGACTATTGAGGATTGATTATCATGAGGGAAACCATAGCTAGAAACAGGTTTTCAGGTGTAAGTGGGGCACATGTAGTTGAGAGGCTATGCTCAGCTTTGGAGGAGAGGGCTTTCAGACCTCCCCATGTTACCAGTATTGTAGATCTCCATTGTTTAGTGTCCATCCCTGGGGGAAGGGGTGATTTCAGGCTAGATGGTGGCACTTCAGTGTTCATCCCTGGGGGAAGGGGTGCCGGTGTCAGTTGTAGCTCTGGAGTAAGGTTGGATGGCTGCCGCCAAAGGGGTGGTGGTGGTGGTTCAGAGAAGGGAAGGGGCGGAGGCGCAGGGCAGAGTGTGCTGGCACATGGGGGAGCTGCAGCGTGGGGTGCTTCCGGGACCCCTAGTCGCAGCCGGAGCACAGAGCCCACTTTTGCATGCCCAGAGACTCTAGGCAGGGCTGTGGCGGGCGGTGACACCCCAGGTGACTGCAGCAGCAACCTGGCACTGGGCTCGGAGTGCTGCGGGAGACAGAGTGTGGGCCGTGCCGCAGCCGGAGCAGGCCAAGCCCCGCCACCGCTCCTTCCACTGGCCCCGCTGCTGGCCATGCATTCTTCCGGCTCCTCTGGGTCCCTAAGCCCCGGCCAGGGCATGGCCAGCCTGAGGCAGCTGCATGGGGAGTAGGGTGCCTGCTCGCCTGCCGCCAGCCAAGAAAGACAGGACAGACTCCAGTGTGAGAATGGCGGCGGTTCCCATCGGAACGGTGGTGGCTGTTACTGGGTCATGATATGGTTTTACTAATTGGGTGGAAATCCAAAGTGGACCTGTAGTAGACAAAACAGCTGCATACCCTCGCCCCCAGATTAATAATTCTGCAGGTACTTGCCAGACAGAGGGATTTTGGGGATCTTTATAGAGGACCTGTGGGCGAGGTCGGGTGTCAGAGGGGATAAAATGTCGTTCTGCAGCAGTACGACCATCTTTAGCAACCAATAAAATGTTAAAGGTAAAGAGAGCTTTGGCAAGTCTTTCATTCTGCTCACATACTCTAGACCCATCATCTCCCCCCTTTTGTTTATTTAAGAGCTGTTTGAGAGTATGATGGGCACG